CCCTCTTCCACAAGAGGGTCAGGTAACACACTTCTTACCCTTTTTCTGTACTCTGCCCGCACTCTGCCCAACTCCTTACTTTGGCATCGGAGTATTTTGCAGGTACACTCCCTTTTCTTCCTCAGCACCGGTGAGCACGTAGCAGTCCAATAGAGTGTGGCCGGTCCGTGATCCCCTTCTGATCAGGTCAAATCAGATTGAGTCTTGGTCTATTGGATATTTGGCCGATCCAAAAAAATTCTAAAATTTATTTCCCTATATATATATATATATATATAAATTCTAATAATTTATTATATATTTCAAAGTTTAATTAAAAAATAACTTCAAATTCAATATATATAAACTCGCCTTTAGTAAAAAAAAATTAATATTATGTCTTGAGTAACATTATAATAAACTAATAATATTTATGTGTCAATTGAGTTTAAAAAATTACATAAATTAGTTATTATTTAACTATATAACAATTTCTTTTTGAATTTCTATCCTTTTTAAGTGTTGTTATTTAATTTTAATAGTAATGTGTCATTATTTAACTAGGAGAAGTTCGGTGTGCCTGCACAAATTTATTAATTTTAATTGGTATATAATTTATCTATATGTATTTGTAAATATAAATGATAAATTTAATTATGTAATGCACATTAATTATATCAAATGAATAGTTTGAAATAGAAGGTGTTTTCCTTATAAAACAAAGATCTTTTAACTCTAATCACAACTTTTTTGTACTTTGTTTAGTTTTAATATCTAGTAATAATTTTTTAATGACTATGGTTAAACTCTTAACTTTTAAGCTAATATTTTACAAATATATCTAAAAAGTTATAAACGATAACTCTTCTTTAATTATAGCAACACATCCATGGCGTTACAGACATGGTTAGGACAAAAAGTAAAAATCAATAACATTTAGAGATGTGGTAGATACAATCTTTTTTTTTCTTCATTTGTTACAATATAATTTTGATTCAAAGTCAAGGTTTACTTTAAAAACTTATTATTAATTTCTGGTTGGGTTTAAGATTCAACGAGCTTTTCATGCTATATTAAAACTCATTAGCATTATGTAAAATGCATAACATGAACACACATATGAATTTATTGTTTTCAAAAGCAAATTGTTACATTTATTTTGCAATTCATGAATTTTCATGTAAAAATGAACTAATTGGACTAATTTTATCTAATTATTGCACCTAGTTTTGGGCATATTCTATTGCAAGGCCCAACGGTTATTTTGCGCAGGGTCAACAATTGCTTTGCATTAGGTTGAATTGCAAGGCCAAGATTACTTTGCATTGAGTTGGATTGCAAGGCTCAATACGGGTAATTGCCAGGGCTTACGTGGCGTAGGGAAGATCAGTACGTGGTCTTCGCCCTGGATCAACTGTCCAGTGATCTTCGGAAGGTAGACTGACCAACTCTTTTAGAAGGTGGGTAGTTGTCTGATGACGTGTCCCCGCGTGGGGGGGCACATGGAGCCCGTGAAGAAGACACGTGAGCTCTCCCCGTACTAGGTAGTGGCCTGTCCGACGACAGAGTTGAGCGTGTCCGACATGGGAGGGTTGAGCCTTGTTGGGCCTCCCCAACATAGTATTGGGTTGGGCCTGCCCGATTGTAGGGCAGGTCTCGGCCCAGTCCATGACAATTATTATATTCAAATTCAACTAATTAACCGTACCATAAAAGAAAATGTGATGTGTACAAACTAACGTGTATTTATCTTAAGCCAACTTAGTCTGGTTAGAACACAACTATCCCATAAGAACTATTAAACACTCTACGTAGTAGATTGCATAGAGTTGACATCATATGTAAATTAGTTTATCTAATACATGGTAACAATTTCGACAACACAAAATAAAAATTAGCTCAAAGTTAAAAAAAAATATAAGATTGTTCTATCACAATCCTACAAATTTTAAAGGTAACCATATTGTTTTTGAAATTATTTAGTTATTTTTATTTATTGAATAATTGTTTTGACTCCTTTGTTCTTTCAAATTTGTGTTTCACTGTTGTGATAAAACAAAAAGTTATACTTAATGAGTTTAACTTATTATACAACCTAGTGTCAACCCTATTGAAGCACATCCAAAAAAGCAAGTACTTATTTTGGTGGTTTCCTCAAAACATGAAAAAGCCTTACAAGATAAACACTTCAACACTCTAACCAAGTGAATTGACATACCATGATCTTGTACTTGGAAGAAGGTTTTTCACAATTTTAGGCTTTTTGGTTGTTATACAAATTATGTTCTGCACAAACAATGACTTATAATCAACTGGTTTAAAGAATGGTATGACATATTATCAATATTTATGGCAGTTGTTTTATACTTAAAATGTGACATACAATGTAAAAAACTAAACATGTTTTACACCATTCTCTTTAGTCTTTAATCATGTTGTGCTATAGTAATTTATAATAAAGTTGCGAGTCATTTGTAGTTATACTTATGAATTTATACAATTTAACTACATCACACATTAAAATCAATTAAGCAAATAAATTGAAGAGCAAACAAATATAAGTTATAAGATATAAAAATGATATTGTATAAAAATCTTATAAAACTTAGAGAAACCATTTTGTCTTTTGTTTGCACAAAACAATTATCCGTATTATTGCAAGAAGCAACACATGTTAAATATAATTGGTGTTAGTTGTTCATTGATGAATTATTAAGCCTTTTCAAATATCTAGCTTCCAATTTATGAATTCAAAAAATAAATTAAAAGGGTGAGTTTATAGTTCAAACCGACTAACTCCATCGGGTAACGATGAACCACAAAATTGGGTTCGTCTTTTTGCACATTTTTGGTGTAGAACCAAAGCCATCACCAAAATGTCCAATAATCATAACAAGATTAAGTGCACTTTCAACATATTTAAAATGTATACTGAGTTTGTAAACATGTTATATATATATATATATATATATATATATATATATATATATATATATATAGTTTGTAAACATATTATTTATATATAACATGATTGTATATATATATATATATATATAATATGATTGGAATTCTTCACAATTAAGTGATAACTATCATCATTGTATTTTGTAGACATATTCTCTATGAACTATCGAGTTTGGAATGGATCTAAGCTAGCCGTTCTCACAAATATCAGTTTTTGAAGCTTAAATAATGTAAGTACTCAATATCTATTTCCTATATGCAGATAGATACATTGATTAATATATAAAATGCCAAATTTCACAAAAAAAAAAGTCCAAATTTCACACAAAAAATATCCAATTAGTTGTCATTTAAAAAAACTCAAATCTAATTGATAACATGATAAGTTCAAACCTTAAAGCTTAAAAGTGAAATTAAAATTTACAAGTAGAGTTATTAAGGGTGATTTTGTCGACATATTTCAATATCTAACTCATATCTGAGCTAAATTTCCATGACATAAAATTATCAGTAGAAAAAATTAGCAAAATATAAAGGAAAGAAGAAAACAACATCAAAGATAATAGATCAGATTATAAAATACATAAAAATAACAACAAAAGTAAACTAAAAATTAAATAAAAAGAGAAAGTGAAGAAATTTACTTTTGCTTCACTTGCAGTTGGATGAAATCCGTCAAAACATTATCAGAAAAAAGATCAGATGAGTAAAATCGGTCTTTGCATCAGAAAAGAAAAAAACAAAAAAACAAAATAGAACACAAGTTGAGGGTGAACATGAGTCAAAGCTTCATCAACCATTCATGCTCGATTTATTCTCCCTGTTGACGCTCATTTGCATAAATAAACCGAAAGAAAGAGAAATAAAAAGAAACAAAAAACTAAGTGATGTTAATCGAAAATAAACATCTAAAATCAGAAGAAAAAAAGAGACATTGATGAACGAAAGAAAATGATCGATAAATATAAATAAAATTTCAAAGTCGAAATACACATATGAAAGAATAGAAGAAGATTGAGAGGGAAAAAAAGAATAAAAGAAGAAAATATTTTTTCTCTTTTTCTAAAACCCTAAATTTAAAATGTGAGAGATAATGAAAGTGAGATAAAAAAAGTGTGGAAACATGGCCAAATAAAAAAAGAATACTTTTGTTTGAGTCTGAGGTACCTAATTATTTGATATTTGACATACAAAGAGAGATTTAATTAAGTTTTAATTATGATATTCATTGATTATTAATTTATTCAAACTATACAAAATAAAAATAAGGGAAATGACAAAATTGTAAGAACATGTATTAAAATTTTTAAAGATTGACAAAGTTAAAGAATCTATAAATAATTTTTTTTTATAAAAAAAATAATAAAACCATTAATTATAATTTTATATTAATTTTAATACACAATTTCTAATAAATTTTCACTATAGAAATTATGTCTCTTAACTTGTGAGTTCCAAGTTTCTACTACAGTGACATTGTAATTGTACTGCTAATTCCCAATCCCGAAAGATGCCCCACACTTATAACAAATAATAACTCACCACGTGGCTTAGAAATTTTAAATTCAAAGAAATTATCGATTTCTATTGGCGGTGACAAACAACACCATCACCCGCATGTAACCTTAAAGCAGGTGATAAAAAGCCCAAAACGGACAAAATGCATCGTGTCTCTGAATGATAACCGCGACGTTCGTCTCTCTCTCTCCAAAACCCCCCAAAAAAACCAAACCCTTATTTCTTAGCTCATCTTTCACTTCAACGCGAGATCTAATCGAACCTCTGGTATGCACTCTTTATCACTCTTTGTTCGTTTATTTCTATTTCATGTCTTTCAATCATTCAATTGTTCATTTGTTTTCAATTGCGTCGCATCTGCAAAATCTTTTATATCTTTGCAGTTTTTTTCTTTCTTCCATATGAGTTTTTTAGATTTTTCCGAATTGTTGAGTAAAAATATGTTTTTTTGTTGTTGTTGTTGTGTTTATTGAATGCTTGATTGAATGTTTGAAGTTTTGATTTTTGGTAGATATAAAGTTTTAGGGGTATTATCATTCATGGAGGACCCTGAAAAGGGTTTGTCTACTTGTGGAATTTCAGAAACAACACTTTCCCATGATGAGATAGTTGGTGGTGAAACCCTAGATGGGGGTCAGGTTCAGTCTTGTAATGGGCAGGGTGGGGAGGATTTGAAGTCTGTTGAGGTAGGTGGTGGGAATGAGGCTCGGCTTGATGACTCTAGGGTTGTAGAATCGGAAGAAGGTAGGAGTGAGAATGCAGCAGGTGAGTTGGGTAGCTTGGTTTCGGAAAGGGCAGCGAGTGGTGAAACAGTAGTTGATGGTGATTCTTGCACAGTTGTCAATACGGCATCCGGTGACTTCACTGTGAAGGATGCTGTCGGGGCTGCAGATCACAAGGTAACTAGTACTAGCTGTGATATTGGTTTAGGATGTTCATTTAGAAGTGATTCTCAGAAAGATTGGAATCTGATTGATCATGGGACACGAGAAGATGGTAATGATCTGACATTAGAAACACTAGATGAACAGAAAAACATACATTTAAAGAGTGGTGAAAAAATTGTGGATCAAAGAGGGCTTGCTTGCGACAAAGTTGAAATTGAGGGAAAGTTGAGTTCAAATGGGGAACAGCCGATTGGGAATGATGAAGTTAATGATAACTCCAATAATGTACAGGAAGTTGTCTGTGGAACTAAAGCTGAAATTGACGAGACCCTTTTGAACTCTGATGAAAAACACAGCTCTATCCTTAAAAAGTGCAATACAAAAGAGAAAATAGTAGCTGAAAATGATGTCGGTAGTGTTTCTGATGCAGAACAATCTGATGCATGTAAGGAGATGCAAGTAGATGTCGACGATCTACAAGGAACAGAAACAAGTAAAACAATGAACCACACTGTAGATATTAAAGGTAAGATATCCATCTAATTGGTGCCTATTTTTCAGCATAAGTAGTGGTTAAAATTGAAATTGTATTATTGTAGTAGTAAATGAGAATGTTTTTTAGTATCCAGATAATGATAATGATAATGATGCTTTTAGTTTTCTGTTTGTGCAGGTACGCCGGTGTCTCTTGGGAGTGAGAAAAACTTAGATGCTAATGCAATTGTTGAGAAAGACACTCAAATTACTGACCAAGGGAGTCATATGACATTGCGTGGTAGAAAGGAAAAAATTGACATTGAGTTAAATACGAGGCAAAACGTTGAAGAGAGAGAAAGCGTATCTGACCAGGTTGGTTCAAATGGAAAAAACGTAAAACATGCACTCGTGAAGCCTGGTAGTTCAGAAATAGTTCATCAGGCACAGTATTCGCTGCCAATAGAAAAACAAGAAGGCGAGTTTTCTCTCTCTGATATGGTTTGGGGCAAAGTGAGAAGCCATCCGTGGTGGCCTGGACAGATATTTGATCCCTCAGACGCATCTGAGAGGGCAATGAAATATTATAAAAAAGATTGCTACTTCGTCGCATATTTTGGTGACAGAACATTTGCATGGAATGAAGCATCTCAGCTAAAGCATTTTAGGGCACATTTCTCCACAATTGAAAAGCAGAGGAGCAGTTCAGAATCATTCCAGAATGCTATAGGTTGTGCTTTGGATGAAGTCTCAAGACGAGTAGAATATGGGCTAGCATGTTCTTGCACACCTAAAGACACCTATGAAATGATTAAAAGCCAGGCCGTAGAGAACACTGGGATTCGACGAGAAATAAGCTTCAAACATGTGATAGATGAATCTCTGAATGCTAACTCATTTTCACCTACAAAACTTATAGAATATGTGAAAACACTTTCTGAGTTGCCTACTGGTGGCTTTGATCGCTTGGAGCTTGTGACTGCTAAGGCTCAGCTGCTTGCTTTTAATCGTTTTAAGGGTTTCTCTTGCTTGGCAGAAATACAACATTGTGGAGTCGCTAACAAGGACAATTCATTTGTTGACGATGAACAAGATTTGTGTGAAGTTAATGAGCATACAACTCCTGCATTTAATAAAGATGATCAAGCTGGTCCTGGAAATTTTAAAAATCCTAGCAGCACCCGTCAAAAGCGTAAGTATAATTTCAAGAATGCTATGCATCCCACAAAGAAGGAAAGAAAGATGTCAGACCTAATGAACGGGACTCCAGATTCTTCCGACGATGATTCTTGGACTCCAGATAGTGTTGTTTCACCTGAACCTTCCAAGAAAAGGAGATCTGTTGTTCCCAATGCCGATGACTCTGAAATGCAAGATGGGACAAAGGCCATTTCCGTTGGAAAAGGCTCAAATACCACAAAATCTTCGTTTAACATTGGTGACTGTATTCGTAGGGCTGCTAGTCAACTCACTGCGTCATCTTCTATATTGAAGTGTTCTAGTGACCAGTCTCCAAAGACAGACGGAGACATTGATGGTTTTCCCGAGAATGAAACTGTTGAGGATGATCAGATCACAAGTGAATATTCTTCTCTAAATGATTTGCTATCTTCACTTCAGTGGGTGGCACAAGAACCCCTTGCAGAATATACTTTTCTTAATGGCATAGTGAGCTTCTTCTCTGATTTCAGGAATTCTGTAACTGTTGCTGCTGATTGGAAAGAGATTTTACGTATGGATAAAATTGGTGGTTTTAAGAGGAAGAGACCACCCATAGCTGGAACTGGATCACCTGAGACATTTGAATTTGAAGACATGAGCGACACATATTGGACTGACAGGGTCGTTGACAATGGCAATGAAGAGAAACTAGTTCAACAACCATCACAGAAAAACCAGAAAAAAGACGAACAACCTGTCACCGCCAAATCACCAAAGCCAGCTGCTGCCAAGTCACCAAAGCCAGCTCAAGTTCGTAGACCCTATAACAAGAAAAAAGTTACCGACATTAACCATGCCGAGACTACTACCGAAAAGCCTCCAGGTTATATAGATGAAAATGCTCCTGCTGAGCTTGTTATGAATTTTGCTGAATTTAATTCTGTTCCCTCAGAAACAAACCTCAACAAAATGTTTAAGCGATTTGGACCGCTAAAGGAATCTGAAACAGAAGTTGATAGAGTAACCAGCCGGGCAAGAGTGGTCTTTAAAAAGTGCGTGGATGCAGAGGTAGCTTTCAGTAGTGCTAAAAAGTTCAACATATTTGGATCAGTACTTGTAAATTACCAGCTTAATTACGCCCCGAGTGCATTGTTCAAAGCTTCATCTGTTGACGCAACTCAAGACCAGGAAATGCTTCTCGATCTCTCCAGTTTTGACGTTAATATGGTCTAAATTGTTTGGTACGCAATTTTACTATACTATTTCTTACAATGTTTTAATAATTAGTACATATTGATTGGTGCGTTTTATGCTATTTTGAATTTGCGATTGGGAAGGTTACTTTAAAACGAGCTTGTTTTGTAAAGCAAGTAACAGTGTATTCACTACATTGATTTGAGGGTATATGCCCTTGTTTATTTAAAAGACAAGTCTTAAAAGAAAGCAAAAACTTTTTAAGAAACATGCCAGCTGTAGAGCAATATAAAACACAATCAAGGAATGATCTAACATCCAGAAAGGCTGAAGCTTTAAGGGAAGAAATAGTTTTCAGTAACTATCTTAGACTAATAAAAGAATTGGGAAGATAGCAAAGGTATTGCATTTAAGGTTTTTTTAGTGATTTTTCAGTAAGAATAAAAATGAAGATTTTACTCAGAATAGGAAAAGAGGGAATGAAATTGTAACAGGAATAATAAGATCCTACAAAAATCATGAAACCCCTGTATATATACATACAAATTCACATATATGATTTCAATGGAGTCAGCACAATGATTTTGCAAGTTAAGAAAACATTGTAAAATCAGCAATGCTAAGCGATAAACCTTGATTTGGTACAAATTTTACATTTAGTTCAAAATGACATGTAATCCAAACCACAACAAATAAAATATGTAGAATAACTGATGTTTTGTGATTCTCATTTTAGGGAATGTTGACAATGATACGGTGGCTTAAATTTGACTGAAGAAATTTTTACCAAGTGGCTGCTGATGGTATTTCCAAAATGTTGATTCGTCCGGTCATTAATTTTTCTGTGAAAGAGATATTTTAGGTAGTAGGATTCCTTTGTTGCAATCCATTTTTTAGTTTTCTGTATAGCTTTCTCAACTGACCCTCATTTGTAGTTGCCATCACTCTTTCAGAATTGTTTTCATTTATGTAGTCTGAGTAGTGGTTCTGTATCACAATATCAATGCTGCATATATAAGTCATCAGTGATTATACTAGCCATCCCTTTGGAGGGATACAAGTTTGTGTTAGTATCAATTATATGCCTTTCTAGTTTTAAGCACAGTAGTTGTTAATCGTTAACTTTTTGATGTGAGCGAAATCTTTGTAATTCACTGCATATGTTTATGTCTAGACACTTTTGAACAAAATTTTAAGTGCTCATTTGATTGAAATTTTTGGTCTCTAAGATTGTATTATATTGTTTTCTTCAAGCTAGTCAATTTCAATTGGTCTCTAAGATTGTATTATATTGTTTTCTTGAATTGATGAGAATTAAAACGGATAGAGTTGAAAAGGGTAGGGGTATTCAGGCTTAGGATTGGCTACCTTTCCTATTTGATACCTTTAGTTACAAAGTAAAGTAATATGCAATAATAAAGTTACAAAGGCACCCAATCCTTTTCGGGTATTCATGGTTGTAGGTCAACACCTGCCTTTCCACTTATTCAAATTGAACCAACTTATAATGAGTTGAATCCGATTATTTACAGGCATATCCGTTCGAACGTGTAATACTCTGTAATGTTTTAGTTTGGATATGAGGTTTGGGTATACCCATTATAAATAAAAATATAAATTAATATTACTACTAATTACAATTTTGCAAAAAAAAAAAAGTATTCACCAGTTATGCTACTAGGCCACTGTGTTTTTGAATTTTTTTAATATTGAGTGTTGATTTTTATTTTCTTTTGTATTATTTTCACTTATTACTTTATGAAAATAAATGAATTTTACGAAAATAATGTGTTTTGTGAAATTATTATTTTTTAATTTGAAACACAATTCGCAAATTCAACCCAATCTAACACAAATAAGTGGGACAATTTGATTTAGTTTTGATAGTGAAATTGTGGATTGGATGATGAATCCAATTTATTAAAGTTTGAATGGTTGAGTATTAGATTAGGCCAACCATGATTTAATCCAACTCTAACCTATCCATATACATTATTAGAAAAGGACATATATTTTTTGTTAGAGAATTTCTTATTGCACCTATATATTTCTAATGCACCATATGAATTTTCACAATTGTTCTTGATCTCTGGACATACCTATTTTTGAATAAACGTTGACATATTTAAGAGATATATCTCTAGAATTATTTTAAATATTCAAAATAAGCACCTATAAACCATTTACATTTGAATTGTTCTGGATATGCATCTACGGTGATTTTTCGGAGATACATCTTTGAAGTGTATAAGGACAAGCTGTTCTTTACTTTAAGAAGTGTATTTGTTTTCCGATGAAGTATGAAACATGGGCTTGAATAAAAAAAGTAGACATATAAAATAATAAGAGACACATACTGAGTGTGTCGAAAATAATATAATAAAAAAATATTGCACAATTGATATCCAAAATATAGTAATAATGTCAGAAATAAAGTACAAACTATAATACTACAATAAAATAATAACAGACAACTATTGAATGTGTCTGACAACCTCTCCGCTACCTCCCCTGCCTGCTCTGCCTCCTTGATCATCAATCTCCCGACCTCTGGCGATGTTTATGGTACAACAGTGTCCCTCAGTGTCTTTCCCATATGGCATCCAGGACTTGCTTGACAGCAGACCCTTCAAGGAAGATACCCCCGTCGATGCCTGCCTGCATAATCTCTACTATGCGATGACACTGAGGCAAGACATCATCAGGATGATCTAGCTTAGTCTGCTCCTCCTCAAGTATCTTCTGATGAGCTGGTCTCGATGGATCTCCTGGAACAATCTGCACCATGTACGAATGTGACATTGTGAAGAACCACTTGATGTATCCATCGACGTAGTCCCATTCGTTCGGTGCTATGGTAGCCAGTGCCTCGTTTGGTACTAGATGACTAAAAATCAGCAAACATCTCCATTTTTTGTCTACGAGACAATGCAGGAGGAGCAGAGACAACATGGTGTCTGAGGATGGTCTGAGAGTACTTGAACTGTCGCATGACGCGCTCAGGCAGGTCAGGAGTAGTAAAACGTGATCCACATACCTATCATCCGGAGTATAGAGCTATGCCATCAAATGACCGCGTCTGACGGTGATCCACGTAGCTGTTAAAATACATGTCCTCAACAACCAAACGGTCAAGGTAGACGCTGAAAGCTCCTGGTTCCCTCTCAGCAGGATAAAAGCACAGGCACAAGGCATATCCTTAGTGTACTCATCCACACTTGCCTAACCAGCCATGCGCGGGAAGTGCAGGAGGATCCAAGCCTGAAATGAAAATAAAAAGAAAACATGGTTTCGCAAATATGAAATGAAAATTAAAAAATACATTCAAGTATCAAGAATTATTACCATGAGTAGTGTCACACTGCATGTGACCTGCTTCGTCCTCCACTGACATTCATCTCTCAACTTTGAATAAAGATAACACATGCAAGCCGCCCCTCAGTTGTACTCATGGATTCAAGTGAGATCCAAGAAGTACCCAGAGGTATGCAACATTAGTATAAGTGGCACTCTTGTCCACAAAATGCAAGTACTAATCAAAAAATAGAAAATATGCCCTCAAAGAACGAGCCCTGTGTACTGCCATCTGCTCAACGTCACCACGAGCCTTCTGTGTAGCAAGGATTTCATCATCATATATCTTATTCAAGAACTCAAACCTAGCACGAGCACCCCTGGTCCTATCCACCTTCTCAATTGACTTCTCCGAATAAGCCCCCAGATGCTCTACCATCATCTCGACTACCTCGTCTTTGGTCATCCTACCATGATCGAGGAATCTCCCCCTGATCGAAAGATGTAACAAACACGGGACATCGTCTAGCGCGATAAACATCTCACCATGCATGGGATGAAAAGAAGAAGTCTTAGAATGCCATCTCTCCACGAATGCATTAAGCATCCCGTGGTTGACCAAAGTGTAATCAGTCATGCATAGGTCTTTCAACCCAAATAAGGTCAGAACTGGATGAAACCACTCCTTATCCGACTGAGCTAAACCATTAATCTTCCTCCAATGGTTTAGAAACTTCTAGGGATCACGCACCTAAAATTTTCCTAAAATAATTATGGTCAGTAATAATCAATGTTAGAATTAATCAATGTCAACAATTTAAATTAATGTAAAAAATAAATAAAAAATCCAACCAATGCTATCTCTCCATCCCAGATATGTCTGGTTGTGTGATCTGGATACAGAGGAAGTAAGGACAAATCAGATGAATCTCCTGCAAACCCATCTGACTCGACATCCTTAACAACCTCACCCTTCGGAGGTGACATTGGATCAACAGCGGGAGGTGACACTGGATAAGAAGAAGATGATACTGGTGAATCCTGACGCATGCAAAAGGATGGGGGAAGTGACGCGTCAGCTGACAAATCCTACATCCTACGGGAAGAAGAAGAAGATAGAGTGACATGAGATGAAGGTGGAATGGCCTAAGATGAAATGGCATGAGGTGAAGGATGAATCCTAGGAGTAGACTGCGCTACAAAAGTCGATGCCTCTGTCTGACCAGAAGTACATGCTGCCTCTGGAACTTGCTGACTTCACTCCCTCCAAACGGATGCGTGCTTGGCAATCCGACTATGTATCAGTCTGTCGACTCTGTTAGCCATAATGCCTGTAAGGTAAAGTAATGCGTATCAATAGTGCATACAGACAACACAAACAAACAAGAAAATTTAAAAACAAATAGACTGCAGGAAATTCCGGAGATATATCTCCGGAAAGATCATAAAACAATAACGTTTGACAATTTCGGAGATACATCTCCGAAAACACCATAAAACTATTACCTTTGAAGAGTTCTGGAGATGTATTTCCAAGAATTCCCAATAGGATATGAAACGCTGAACTATTCCGAAGATGTTTCTTCGGAAAGTTCTGCAACTTAGATGTCACAGTAATGGCGTAATGTGGCTCATGCAAGTTGAAAAAATACGAGCTGAAAGCCATTTTAAGCCAACAAACAAGTCATATACTAAGTCTAAACTATGTTACATGCGATTCCTACACTTTTCTAACCACAATCATT